TATGTAAAATGTTATTAAATACAGTGTATTAATTGATTAAAAATACAAATTATTCAAAATTCAAGGTAGTATTCACAGATATTCACGGTTGATTGCATTACAGTACGTATGGACGAGCCCTAAGATAGAGGGTATCTTAAAAACGATTGAGCGCATGGAAAAATGTTTCAAATAAAATTTGTCCCAAATTTTGTGCTCTACAGTTATGATGCTAAATGTTAACATCATTGGAGCAATAGAAAGTGAGATAATCGCAAAAAACTGTTTTTCTTGACCTTTGACCTTGAATAACTTACGACGCAGACACGAGATTTTATGAGACTTTTGAGACAATTTTTAAATGCCAAAATTAAGGTGTATACAAAAATCCAGCTCATTATCTCTCATTCCGAGGTTGATCCCTTTTTTATGCTAAAATGACTGGACTAATTTTGAAAACTTTAGATACGACATTTTTTATTTGGTATAAAAAAAGCTAAGAATAAAATAACTTAATTTATAAAAAAAACTAGATAAAAATTTACAGTACCAGTTTTCAATTCTGATGCCCTTATACACAAATATATTATTCGTCCACAATCAATTTAAAGTTGAATTTTAAGCCACACTTTATGAATTGTTATACATATGTATAATAAAGAAATAATTACACATAAGTGTTTAAAAAAGTTAATTAAAACAATATTAAATTAACGTTACAATTTTGGTAAAACTTTCGAATTTGTCACTAAGGTAAAAGGTACACCTTCTTTGTGTGTGTTCATTATGTACAAATCTATGTAAAGTACTCCAAAAGCTATAAGATTATATGACTATCATAAAATTATCCCATTGTGTCGAAGTTAAGTTGTTTACAATAGAAAAGGTTTTAAGGTCGTAAATAACGTGTCCACTCCAGCTGACCGGCTGCTGTTGGTTCGTTCAGGGGTGACTTTCACTAAATATCTAACTACCTACTACTATTACCTGCAGCCACAAAGAGTTCCAAAATAACCAGTCGCTTTGAAAGCTGGCCCTGTAAAATGTGAGCAAGAAATGTTTAGAAGACGATTTATTGCCAACCCGTAAACTTAGTGCAAACCACACAAAGGGGGTATTTATTTGCGGTCAACTACTTTTATGATGATCATATAACCTTATAGCTTTTGGGCTACTATACGTAAGATCTGAATGCTGACGGGAATTCATGCGACCCTACGCAGGTAAAATATAGCGTTGACGGGAATTCGGGTTAGAGATTAAGGGTCCCCAGTAGCAGACCGAAAAATGAGCTAAATAGATTTTTATTTTACGGCGGTAATTTCAACATTGAAAAAAAGATCGACATTTCAATTGATAGATTATGTCTAAATCTCTGGGGAACACACAATATTTTTTAAAATAAGTGATTGTTTAGTGTTTAATTAATCGTTCATTCTTCGAAGGAATTTGCATTTTTAGACGAGGAGAAAGCATTTTTCGCTTCAGCTTTTATATCAGTGCAAAGACAACATTCAGCTCTATGGGGAAGACCCGGTCATTTTTGTTTAAAATTTATATTTATCAAAATATTTGCGTTTTAAAAAAATACTGACTAATGAAATCAAATTGAAACTAGGCAACTCTATTTACAAAGGATTCGTTTCCATAAATGGTTGAGTTTGACACAGCAGGTAATCCGTCCAGGTACTTTCATAAACCGTCATAAACAACGGAATTGTGTTTCATACGCTAGATCCAGTGCTGTCGCGGCGATACTTTGATTACAAATATATTTTTATTTTGGACTATATCAACATAATATAACATTTCAAGATCACAAATCTGTGGTCCTGTGTTTGAAAAATTAAACGGGGTATCAAGAATTATTTTTTTAAGTAATATAGTAATATAGAAGTAGTTTTTTAACAAGCTGTAAACACTCCTAGCGACGCACTGGCTACGACCTTGTGGACCAGATCAAAGCGTCCCCGCTACTCGCCGTAAAACACACCTTGCTTCAACTGGGGAATTGCATCCGTAAGATAAATTTCCGCCTACTGGTCATAAAACTCATAAATACTTTTAGCTTACGAACATTGTTGAAACTCTTTTACAAGTCGACTTCTTTCATTGCTAACATAATTTGAATTAAAAGTATGCAAATTTTTATAATTTTATACATTCTACTAAAACATTTTCTTACAAAAAATTATTCCAGTAGTTTTTACTAATCTGTCATTCTATATATAAATCTATACACAAAACTGGCAAGATTTAGATTCTCATCACTTCACTAACCACTTATTTACCTGAACAATCATATTTATTTAAATTAAATTTTTTGATACTCTTTTCCGCACCACCTATGAGGTAGAGTATTATAGGCACGTTTTTTACGTGATATCTCCAGTAAACCTATTCCAATATTACTATTTATTTCTGTGCGTGTTTATAGTAGAAGGGGAAAATATTTATATGAACTACACATGACGCGAATGCAAATAAAAAATTTTAATTGTACAATCTTTTCTTTACAATTTGTCTAATGGGTTGATTTGTTTAATAACGAGAATCTACTCTCTCCAGAAGTAAGGCATAAAATAAAATTTTTCTCTCTATCTATTTCGCTCTATCATATTATTTTCCCAAAATTTATCATCCCGTTGAATTAAGCATTATTTAAATTGGACATTTTATATATTTCTAAGATAGCGTTTTTGTTTATGAAGCCGTCTGGCGATGCCGCTAAAAATGTACAAACCGCATTGTCTTACTGTCAGTTTGGTGTTACTGCAAAATGCTTCAGTTGCTCTTGCTTCATTTTCTATGCAAAGATTTTGGGAGAGTACATGCTGAACTAGATTTGCAGGGATGTAAAATGTTTTTCACAGTACAGTAGGATTAGCCGTGTTACTTGTTCTCTCATTTTGCAAATTTTACCAAAATAACGTTCGGTTAGTCTAAAGGATTTTTCTGCGCACCATTCTGGATTATTGCGCTCGCAAATTGTGTTTTGTTCGATTAAAAAGACATCAAGGTTTGAAAGTTTTTTGAGAAATACTTTTTGCGCTGTGACATATCAGGTATTTCAACTGCCTCGTTATTAGATACATCGTCGCCCGAGAACTTGTATGATCCAGAGACCGGAGCGCGCTCAGGCCAATGTCGACTCTATAAGCCTCCATAAATTCTGCGGGAAATAGTTATTATTTAGATGCTTTTGTTTACACACGTCTCACATGTTTCACTCGACTTTGACACTCAACTATTTTTTTTTGTTTAACTAAGAATTAATACTTTCACTGCGTTTGATACTAACGTCCTAAATTAGCAATACTAGTGGAACAGTAATCAAGCAATGGATTTTTTTGGGAAAGTACAGTTAATTTTTATGTTTTAGCAGCAATGTGTTCTATTTTCTATTAATTTTTAGGTACATATTTTTAGTCACAATTTTGGTAGTTATTTTTTACTTTTATTTTTAGCAATAACAAATAGTCCAAACATGAAAAAATAAAAAAAAATTAAAATCGGAAAATCTAAAATTTAGAAATCGAGAAATTGAACAATCGTATAATTGAAAACTAGAAACATCGAAAAACTGGAAAATCGAAAAATTAAAAAAAAAATGGAAAATCAGAAATATAATGAATTCCGAAAATTCAAAATCTGAAATATGCATAGAAGAACTAAAAACTGGAGAAATCGAAAAATCTAGAATTTTAAAAATTGAAAAATTAAAATATCGAAAAGTTGAAAAATTGCGAAATCGTATCAGTGAAACATCGGACAATTGAGAAATCGAAAAATAAGAAAATGGAGAAATCGAAAATTTGAAAAATGGAAAAATTGAAAATGTTAAAAATTAAAATACTGAAAAATTGAAACATCAAAAGTTGAAAAATCGAAAAACCGAAAAGTCGAAAAATCTCAATAATTATCTCAGGATTATGCTACTAAAAAATTGATAACATCATCTCAAAATTTTGCTGAATAAATTCTACTAAAAATGTGCAAAATATGATGAGTTTGTAATTGTAATTTATCATTGCATTGCATATTTTTTTAGATTGGCTTATATACCTAGATGGCTCAAAAAATTAATGAATGAGTCAATTTATTCTATTGATTAAATCAGTCTCGACTCACTCCATTTTCCCATAAATTTTTGGAATACTGTTATTTTTAGTCTAATCCACATTGATTCGCAGAGTGAACACGTTATATTTGTTCGTTACATTAATTGTTGTATTCGTTATAATAAATTGTTATCTTAAATCGTCTAAATACACAACAGATTGGCGCAGTCGAGTCGGTAACGAACAGCTTCGCGAAACGGTGCACACGCAAAGCAAAGAGGGAAGGAAGAGCGAAAAAAGAAAATGGCTTCCAGAGGAACAATAGAAACGTTCGACCCTACGAATCCACAAGCGTGGACTACATACTAAGAACGGCTAGAATTTTACATGGAGGCGCAGAAAATTGTAGCAGAGGAAGAGAAAAGAGCCGTTTTTCTCAGCGTATGCGGCCCAGCCACATACGAGATCATAAAGGCCCAAGCAGCCCCGACCGCTGTGAGACAAAAGAAGTACGAAGAAATCATAAAGCTCCTGCGAGATTATTTCGTCCCCAAGACGTCATCGATAGTAAGCCGTTTTCAGTTTCATAGAAGAGAGCAGAGATCAGGGGAATCCATTTCCACATTCATTGGAGAATTACGGCAACTGGCTGAAAAGTGCAATTTTGAAGCCGGTACACTCAACGACATGTTACGAGATAGATTGGTGTGCGGCGTCAGAGATGAAAACCTACAGCGTCGCCTATTGGCAGAAGAAACGCTCACATTTGTAAGTGCCCAATCCATTGCAATCGCACACGAAGCAGCGCTGGCGCATGCATCTTTGTTAAAGGAACCTGTTTTACCCGCATCCCAGCAAACGTCATCTGTCAACAAGCTTTCCTATAATACCGACCAAAGACGGAAATTGACAGATGAACAAAAACAAAATGGACGCCATGGAAAAATGAACAAACCTTGTTTTCGTTGCGGAAAATCAAATCATTCGCTTGATCAGTGCACATTCAAAGGGGTGGAATGTCATTTTTGTAAGAAGGTAGGCCACATAGAGAGAGTTTGTTTATCTAAGAAGAGACAACAGAGACAACAATCTACAAGGATGAAACAGTCATCGACACATCAACAAACCAGCGTCAAAGTCGATGAGCGCAATGAATACAGCATGTACAACGTCCTCGACGAGTCAAGCAAGTCGTCACCGCATATAGTAACAATCGAACTAGAAGGAGTTCCATGCAAGTTTGAAATAGACTCAGGTGCTGCACATTCGGTAGTTGGGAAAAGTACTTTCGAACAAGTGAGGCGTACAGCAAACAGCCTACAGCTAAGACAACCAAATGTGATACTGAAAGATTACCAGAAACAAAACATTGATCTTTTAGGTGCCTGTGATGTAACCGTTAAGTTCAAGTCGAGATGTCAACGACTAACCCTCATAGTGACGGAACAAGATCATGCAAACCTCTTAGGTCGTAACTGGTTTGAGGCATTAGGCATAGCCGTGGTTGGTATAAATTTTCAGACAGCAAAGGTCACTGATTTATATCAAGAATTCGAAGATGTCTTTTCACATGAATTAGGCAAATTTAAGGGCCCTCCTGTATCCTTCAATCTAGATGAAAACATCAAACCGATTATTTGCAAGGCAAGAAAAGTGCCATATGCCATGAAGCCTCTCATTGAGAAAGAGTTAGAAAATTTGGAAAAACAAGGTGTGCTAGAACCTGTAAGCCACCCAAATTGGGCAACACCCATTGTAGCTGTAATGAAGTCACCCACAGAAGTGAGAATTTGTGGGGATTACAAATCCACATTGAACACGGTCCTCCACACAGACACCTATCCGATTCCATCAGTACAGTCAATGCTAGCAGTTCTAGCAGGGGGAAAATACTTTGCTCGACTGGATCTCCGACAAGCTTTCCAGCAACTGACCGTGACAGATGAGACTGTAGAAGCCCAAACCTTAATAACGCATAAAGGTGCTTTTAGAGTGAAGAGATTGCAATTTGGCATTAACATTGCTCCACATATTTTCCAAAGATTTATAGATCTTAGATTAGCGGGAATCCCTGGGGTTCTACCATATTTTGACGACATTTTGGTAGTAGCCTCCTCAATGGAAAATCTAGAAATGCGTCTGCGAGCAATATTATCAAGATTTAGAGAAGATGGGCTCCGGTTGAGAAAAGAAAAATGTATTTTGTTAACGAACAAAGTGAAATTCTTGGGGTACGAGATTACAGAAGAAGGTACTCGGCCCTCCGAAGAAAAGAAAAAAGCTATAATAGAAGCTCCGACTCCAAGAAATGTAGAAGAACTGGCAGCATTCCTGGGTATGCTCAACTTCTATAGTATTTTCCATAAGAATAAGGCAGAAATAGCCGAACCCCTACATAAGTTGTTACGAAAGGAAACAAAATGGAAATGGGACAACAAGCAGCAACAAGCTTTTGAAAAACTGAAACTTCTTCTGTCCTCGTCAGAAGTCTTAGCCCACTACAATGAGAAATTCGAGCTAATTTTGACTTGTGATTCCAGCGCTTATGGAGTAGGTACTGTCCTTAGTCAGAGAGATGACCAAGGTTTTGAAAGACCTATTGCCTTCCACAGCCGTACACTGTCTTCAACAGAGAGAAATTACTCACAGCTGGATAAAGAAGCCCTAGCAATCTTGGTGGGTGTCAGAAAGTTTCATGACTACTTGTATGGTCGCACATTCGAAGTAAGAACCGACCATAAACCGCTATTGGGAATTTTAAGTGAAAAGAAGCCGTCAGGAGAAATCCTGTCACCTAGAATGCTTCGATGGTCACTCATTCTGAGTGCATATGATTATAAATTATGCTACGTCCCTGGAAAACAAATCCCGCAAGCAGATGCGCTGAGTCGGCTTCCTCTAAACCATCCAGAGATCCAGATACCGGAAGAAGCCAGTGTATTGATGTTAGAAAGTATGCCAGAACCACTTTTCACTGCCAAGCAAGTCGCAGATCAAACAAATAGAGATCCGATACTCTCTAGAGTACTTCATTGGACATGGCATGGATGGCCAGACTCAAAAGAAATCCCTCAAGAGTTCAAGCCATTTCTAACCAGAAGAAATGAGATCTCAGCCTACAAGAATTGTTTATTAGTAGACAACAAGGTTATTATTCCACCAGGAGGGAGGGAAGAAGTCCTCGATCTTTTACATAGCGGCCACCCAGGTATTGTGAGAATGAAAGCACTAGCAAGGTCATACGTTTGGTGGCCGGGAATTGACCAGGCCATTGAAGAGAGAGTGAGCAAATGCCACGCGTGTCAAGAGTCCAGACATATGCCACCCAAGGCTCCCGTTTTTCCATGGGAATGGGCCAAAGCTCCGTGGACACGTCTACATATAGATTTTGCGGGTCCCTTTCAAGGTCATATCTTCCTCATAGTGGTATGCAGTTACAGCAAGTGGCTTGAAGTCAGAAAGGTCCCTTCAACATCCACAGAAGCAACTGTCCGAGTTCTTAGGGAATTGTTTGCAACCCACGGCATCCCTGAGGTCATAGTAAGTGACAACGACACAGCCTTCACTTCGGAGGAATTTCGAGTCTTTGTAGATAGAAACGAAATCAGACACACTCGCATTGCGTCGTATCACCCCAGCTCCAATGGGCAAGCAGAAAGACTAGTCCAAACCACCAAAGAGAGTTTGAAAAAGCTTGCCTCTGGAGACATTTATACAAAACGGAGTCGATTCCTCCTTCAGCACCACATAACCCCAAGCACTGTAACAGGGCGCAGTCCAGCAGAAATACTGATGGGACGAAGATTGAGAACAGTTTTGGATCGAACTCATCCAGAATCCATGCCACATCGTAACATGAAAGAACAATCCCCGTTGCCATCACGACAATTTAGACCTGGTGATAAAGTTTATTCGAAGAATTATAGACCCGGTCCAAAGTGGATACCAGCCACTGTTGATGAAGCGTTTGGTCCAGTTTCCTATAAAGTCGTAACATCCACTGGCCAGGTTGAGAGGAAACATGTGGACCAACTTCGTCTGAATAGAAGGGCTGTACCGCCTTCTACCTCTGCAAGTAGCTTGCCTTTGCCTTCCACGTCGACGTCGTCAAGTGATCAACGAGGGTCAATCATCGAAACCCCTGAAGCAGAGGCCGCGCCATCTTATGGGCAGTCCGAGAAGTCGCAGAGATATCCCCAACGTCAACGTCAACCCCCGAAGCGATTAAATGACTTTGTCCAGGAGGGAGGGATGTAGTGTACCGCCCTGATGCGCAGGTCCGCGGAGAAGCCGCGAGAGGGCAGGTCGATCGTAGCCATGGCAGAGTGAACACGTTATATTTGTTCGTTACATTAATTGTTGTATTCGTTATAATAAATTGTTATCTTAAATCGTCTAAATACACAACAATTTATATGTACTTACATATAACATAATTTTGGATATTATATACAGGTAGATGCCTGTAATACTATAACACTTTTTAGTCACCTACTAAACATGACACATTTCGCTTAACACGTTACATACATAGTGGGTTGCAGAAAAGTCTTATAGTGAAGCACCCTGTATGTTATACATACGCGGTGACTTCCAAATAGATTCGGAAAAAAAAACTTTTAATTGTCACACGGATTCAAAGTAATTAAATTGCTGCTCCAGTTTCAAGAAACAAATACGGAACATCTTGTTGAATGTAAATGATGCGGCAATGATTTATTCAGTTTCAATTGTGACTAAATTTTTTCTTTATTTTTGCTGTGTGTTGCTTAGATGAAAACAAATGGCACTGAATGAGGTGTAGATCTTGATATTTTTTCCCCTGAATTAGGACTAGATAAAAGAAATTACTTAAAATTTTCTCTACTTCGTGATGTTGTGGTTTTATTTTCCGAACTTATTTCAGAGTCACTCGATATATACACATAAAAATATTTTCTTCTTTTCTTATTTCAGGAACTGCTATCGTCCCAGATAGGTGGTAATGGGAAAAAGAACAATGTGGGGGGTATATTAAAAAAAAAAAAATTCAGTGAATTTGCTGTAGCTTGTTTGTTCGGTAGGAAAATTCCAAAATGGCTGGGACAAAAACAATGAATATTATGAAAGGTATTTTTTTTTTGCAATAAGTAGGTATAATTATTACAATTTTTATTTTTGAAGAAATTACAATGAAGACCCATTCCACAATAGAAAAAGAAGTAGAACAACGCTGCTCAGAGTGGCTACGGCATTCTAGTCAACGCCTGAAGAAAGAAAAAACAACGACAGTTTATAGTTTCTGTGTCTTTTTTTAAGTGTAAATTATATTGTATTATTTTCGAATTAGGAAATCATATATACATATATTTATTTATTTATATTATGAATTTATATTAATTTTTATATTTTATTACTTATTACATATTATATTTTTTCAAACATTGAATAAAATAATAATTTACTGTAAGCTCTAAATTTTACTCTCCATATCCATATCCCTAAATGGTAACTAGATTTTCTGAAATGCCTAATCATATCGCATAGATCATGTTAATAAAATATACTGAGTCATATGTTTACGATGTTGCGATATATACGTAACGTCTATGTCCATTTAATACGTTATATTGGCGTTTAAAATAAAACGTAACAGATACATACAATATAGAGAATCTAGCGACATACTAACACAACGTTATGATGATGTACCAGCGAGCACGTCTCTAGTCTGAAACAGTGTGGATGTCACCAGTATGTTACAAGCATGGGTCACTGTTGATTACATTACATAGCACAGGGAAAGCAAATGTACGCAGTTTGGGATGTAACAGCTAACAAGATCGTAGACAGAGTTAAGTGGCATTAACATCGTTACGACATAACTGTGTTTACTGGGTAATCAAAGGTTTTGCTACTATATGTGTAAAGTGTATAAAAATGGGCGAAACGCTCGAGAAACCTCTGTGCTGTTACTGCAGTAATCCTGCTGTAAAAAAATTGGTCTAAAGAGTTTAGACAGTACTTCCCTCGCTGTCGGAAATTTGACGACTGCATGCCTATTATATATCAACATTTTTGCAAGGACACGCATATCAGTTGGGATAGATGTAGTGTAATACTAAGAATAACGAAACAATTTACTCACGTATACGGCGCCGGTGTGTAATATGTAGAGAGCGGATTTCTGTCGGGCTAGGCAAGGCCAAACTCGGTACGGCTCGTACGGGATGCGAATTCATTGCGGTTACGGACTGCACTTCGTTTATTTGAAATTAGAATAACGCTGTTTCGTTGCACTCTGCTGTTAATTCCCGTTCTCATTAACTTAGCCGTTTGATTAATAAATCGTTAATTATATTTATGGAATTAGTATCGATTAAATTCAGTGATTATCTATCACCCGCTACTGAGTCTCGGCGATCCAGCGTGTCCCCACCTATAATCGTGACGTAGCCCGACAGAAATCCGCTGTCTAGTAATATGAGAGGCAACTGAAAATCGTTTATGTTTAAACATTCTTAATTTAAGATGACAAGCGTAACAGCATACGTGGGAGTCAAACAGAGAAACTGTAAACAAAACGACCATCGGTTTTATTGCTTCGACTCCCGCTTATTATATAAAACATTGGGTTTTATTTTAATTTTTGACGGTGGAATTCACAATTGGTTGATTATAAACATGTCTATTCCACATTCGCGGAACCTAGTGAGCGCATAAAACAAATGCAGGTCTGTAATGTTAAAGTCGATGTAAATAAGCGTGCTACCTTAATGTTTCAACCGAGTTTTTACTTTAAAAAATTTTGTGTCTACCAAACTGGGTTGGTCCAATGTAATACTAATAATAAGTGTTGCCTTTAATTTAATCAATAAAATAAATTGACTTCATTAATTTTTTTGAGCAACCTCTTAAGAAAATCTAAAAAATATGAATGGAATGATAAATCACAAGTACAAACTCATATTTTTTGCATTTTAGATAGGATTTATTCAGCAAAATTTAAGGGTGACGTCATCAATTTTTTTAGGAGGGATGCACAAAAATATGGTGTGTTGTTTTTGTAATAACAATGTTTGCCTGATAAAAAGCGAAGGTGGATTTCACCCAGCATCGTTACTAAGAAACCAGAAAGTAGGCCAGGAGTATTCCCGCATTAGGTGTGTGCAGTGTTGCCAATTTTACTTCTATAAAATTACGTTTTTTTCGTAATCTACATCATAAAAATTTTTTTATTATTTTTTCGGGACGACACATGCAGACCTCAGAGGTCAATGGTCTAACGGTAAAAAGCAATGGGGCTGCTGGACCAGTTTGACCTCATTTGAGCTGGGTCTAGAAGCCGTATTATATACCTAACTTCTCATCCGTAAGCACAGCATTGAGGTATTTTTTATTTTAAGCGACAAGCGACAATCATACACTATTCACGATGAATAACACGTTTATGTGCATAAGACCGCCCGAGATGCAACCACGAATGACGTCACCCCGTGCTCGCATTTTCTGTTTGATTTCGAAGTTATTTATAAAATTAGAAACAAGTCGTTTACATTTCAAAAAGCAACATTTTTTAATATCTTTTAAGTTAATATGTCTTAACCATTTCACTACCCCTTTAATTTAAATCAAAATTTTGGTAAGACTGTTTCTCATTTTTTCAAGTATTCCGTCAATTAATCTAAAACTACAGTATTATTTTACACTTTTTCTAGTGAGCTAGTGCCTTCCTTTAAAAATTAGAATTGTACAATCACATGAAATCAACAACAAAAAACTTATTTTCATTAATTTATTAAAGATAAATATTTGTATCTAATACAATTCCCAGTTAATCCTATTAAAGGAAAATTTCTTATTCGGCTGAATACATTTTGGGGCTTCTGGGACCAAATTATGCGGTGATCTGGAAAAAAAACAAAATAAATTATACAGAAGCCGTTACCATAAAGCAAGTTAATACTAGCAGCGCAGTATAGCAATTTACTTGTGAACAGAAAGAGCTTTGGGGTTCTGAAGCTATTTAAAAAAAATTGGTGCAAGGTTACTTCGACAGAACTTCCCTCGCCCTTAAAGTACAGTCTAACAAATCCCGCTTCTTTGAAAAATTATACAAAATTTTTGTTTTCTGATAACTTTTATACACTAAAAGCCAGTGGTGTAAATGACACCTCGTTTGCGCCGTGCGGTTGTAAATTCCAAGCACAAAATGAAATATATTCAAAACAAATAACAAACGGAAAAAATATTATCAGTGTACATGCTTAACCTCGTTTGTTTATGTTTACACATGGAAAGATTGTCACGTAGAAATTTGTTTGATTTGAATGAGTGGTGTCCTGAAAACAGAGGACTAAAATGAATAATTAGGCCATTCGTATTTAATCATGGTTAATTAAAACGAGGGTATTCTCACATTTTTTAGAAAATGAAGTTCTTAATCTGATCAATAAAAAACAAATACAGGACATTTTTGTAGCGGGGCAATTTAAAAAAAATTTGCGATGACATTGATGACATGATGTAGTGTAATACTAAAAATAAAAGTTCTGTATTCCCAAATTTTTGGGGAAAATGAATTGGGTCGTCTTGAATATTGATTTATAATAACTAAAATAACGAAACAGTTTACTGTCGTATGCTGCATGTATTAGCAGAGGCGACTCAAAATCATTTATGATAAGCATTCTTAATTTAAGACAACAAGCCGTATCACTTGTTGAGATTATACACGTAAAAGTCAAACAGAGAAACTGTAAACTATACCGATGCTCGCCCAGACCTTTTTTTTATAATTCACAATTCGTTGATTATAACTTGTCTATACCACATTCACGGAACCTAGTCAGCGCAACAAAACAAATGCACGTCTGTAATGTTAAAGTAAATGTAGATAAGTGTGCTACGCCTATGTTTCAAACGAGTTTTTACTTTACAAAATTTTGTGCCAACCAAATTGGGTTGGTGCAATGTAATATTAATAACAACAGTATTGTAATCATCCCCACCACTAATGTGATGACGTCATTTCAAAATTGTACACAGTAAATGGGTTTTAAATTGTATAAAATAATATAGTCCTAAACATGTAGTTTACGGCTCCGAATTGAGTTTTTACCCGAAACGTCCAGATTTTTGGAAAAAAAAATCAAAATTATAAAACAACATTTTGCAATTTAATTTTGAATCTGCTAATCCGAATCTTTTGAAATGTTGCAGATGTTTTAAGGCTATAAAGAGCATCATAAATCTTTACTTATTTTTGCTTATCCCCTCCAAAAAATTGATAACGTCAGCTCGAAAGTTTGCCGAATAAATCCTATCTAAACTGTACAAAATATGATGAGCCTGTACTTGTAATTTATCACTCCATTCATATTTTTTGGATTTGCATATACAGGGTGACTCA